TATATATATATATAAAAATTCTGTGTGTCTCCTGGGGGCGAAGCCCCCCTTGTCCTTGAAACCTAGGGACACCCCTGCATAGAGCCGTTCGATTTTGAACGAGTTACATCATCACGTAGTCGTACGTAATGACGTAATCCCATCACATGGGTGGAATCGTGCGTTTGTCAAACGGAAACCTCCCTCCCCTTTTCCCTCGAGAGCTTCTGTCCTCCACAACTCYGCCTGTTTTCCATGTAAAAGCAAAGCGTGAGTGATTTACGTATTAAAAAATAAAGACTACATGAGGAATAAAAGAAATAAAACTACAAATGGCTCGTTACCGCCCACGATTCGGCTCCTGTTGTTTGTTGTAAAGAGCCGTTCAAAAGATTCAGATCGTTTGTGAACGTCACATCTCTGCTATAAATCACAAACTACTCAACATGGGAGCTTCAGATGTTTTTGTTGTTTGGCTCTGATGAAGGGTTTCCATGTGTTCTGGTGCGTTCTGGTGAGTTGTGGTGAGTTGTGGTGCGTTGAGGTGAGTTGTGGTGCGTTGTGTTGGTGCGGGGGTCATGTGGTTGCAGCGTGCTGGAGGTGAAGCTTTGAGAAGCTGAAGTTCTTCTCTTCTGTTTACTTCTTTGTTCCGTGTGTGTGTGTGTGTGTGTGTGTCCTCAGGCCTGTGCTGCTCGGTCCATCCTTGCATGGAGACTGACTGGAGGCATGAATTCATCACAACTAGCCATCCATGCACCCCCCGTCCCCCTCCCCCGTTTCTCCAGGATCCCTCTCTCAGCACTTATCTCAAACTTCGGATCTCATGCATTTTAATCGACACGTCTATCTTCCACTCCCCCTCTTTTCTTTGACTTTACATCAGTGGCATCCTTCACACAAACAACAACAACAACAACAAAACACCCCTCCCCCCCCCCTCCAACAGCTTCATGTTTTCCTTTAAATCAATATTTGCCATCAGCAAATAAATTGTATAATTTCCCGACTGTTAGAAGAGTGACGCTGACATATTTACCTGTTTTTTTTTCCTGCTTCCTGTTGTTTTCACGGTGTGGCTATTAGCTAAGTGAAGGGGATGGATGGCCGTGAAGTGCCGAGCAAAAGCATCTCCATCAGAACCGTTGACGTTGAAAAATGGCCGCCGCCTCTTTGATGACAGCACAGCAAAAACACACACGTGCACACACACACACACACACAAACACACACACACACACACACACGGAGTCTGAGAGGACACATTTAAATATTCAAATAGTGACAGGCGTTAATGATAAATGACAAGGGAAAAGCAGAATCAAGTAGCTATCGATGCAGAAAATGAAAAGAGGAGAAAAGAGAGGCGGGAAGTTTGGAGAAAAAAGACGGAGCGTCGAGAGGAGAGTAAGGAGACGGGATGGAGGGAAAGATAATCAACCAGGAGTTAAACTGGTCCAGACAAAAAACGTAAAGACCTGTTGTTCTTTAAAGGAATGCATGTGTGCTGGGCTTAGGTTTAGTTTGATGCTTTTTAAGGTGAAACCAGAACATTTCACCCATCATCTTCATCATCATCATCATCATCATCATCATCTTCACAAAACCTTCTCCGACTCCACGGTTTTATATGGTGCGATATGTGTGACAAAATTAGGACAGTTGTTCAACCAGTGGTTGCTACATCCTTGTAGCAGGTTATATCTATTCCTAATCCAGCTATTAATCTGATTAATGAGAGGCCAACACCGCTAACTGAGAGGCTGGAGCTGCAAATGAGAAGGAGACTATTCATTTGAGTTAGCATCAGAGAGGCTAGCAAGTAGCATGGATAAGCTGACGTTAGCATCAGAGAGGCTAGCAACTAGCATGGGTAAGTTTGCATTAGCATCAGAGAGGCTAACGACTAGCATGGATAAGCTAGTGTTAACAATGGAGAGGCTAGAGGCTAGCATGGATAAGCTAGCATTAGCATTGGAGAGGCTAGAGACTACCATGGATAAACTGGTGTTAGCATTGGAAAGGCTAACAACTAGCACGGATAAGCTGGTGTTAGCATCAGAGAGGCTAGTGACTAGCACGGATAAGCTGGTGTTAGCATCAGAGAGGCTAGCAACTAGCATGGATAAGCTAGCATTAACATAGGAAAGGCTAGCAACATGGCTAAGCTGGTGTTAGCATCAGAGAGGCTAGCGACTAGCATTGATGGGCATCAGGACACACAAATGTCGTGTAAGCTGGCCGTTAGCTGTCCATGTGTGTGACGTGTCCCTCCTGTCCTCCGTCTGCAGAGCAGCCACGCCGAGCTCATGATGATGGACGGCAGGAAGTCCGGTCTGCTGGGCCGAGCAGAGTCCCTGAGGAGGAGCGGCGTTGAACTACCCACTGACTTCCACGTTAAAATACACAACCTGACGCACACGTGGACACAACTGGAGGTAACACACACACACATAAAGATAAACACACATGCAGACAGTCAGACAGGTGGCAGCTTCATAATGAATACATATAATTTTATTATTCAGCAGCAGAAACAGAAATAATTATTTTATTCTGACGTCCCTTTTCTTTATCTGTCTATATTTCTTGAATATGTTTTTGTGAGCCTTATACTGTAAATAACC